CCTAACTGATACACTCATTAGACTCTGTCATAAACGCTACAGCTTGAAAGTCTAAGGAGCTCAAAGATCTGAAAAAGCAAATCACTGACTTGAACAAGACAGGAAAGTTGCTTGGAGCCATTTCAAAGTGGCTACAGATCTGAAAGTCATCTGTGCAAACAATCGTAAGTATAAAGTACACAGTACAGTTGTGTCACTGCCATGTTGAAACACAAACTATCACCTGCTGCTGAGAGACAATTGGGCTGGAGAAAAAGCAAATCTGTGATAAATTAGAAGCTGCTGGAACATAGGTGTTAGCGTCAACAGTTTAGTGTGTTATATGAGGTGTGTCAGAAAAGACATATTTCAAACCTAAACTACAAACTAGAAGTTTTCCCCTTCGAAATAATCCCCCTGGAGTGTAACACACTTTCCTAGTCTTCTCTGTCACACTGCCATGCACTCCGGGAAGGACTCTTCCGGGATCCTCCACAGCCCTCTAGATGTTGTCAGCGTCTGTCCCCTTGATGACCCCCTTGAGCTTCGGGGAGAGGAAAACATTCCCCGGAGCCAGGTGGGGTGAGTAGGGAGGTTGCTCCAGCACGGTGATGTTCTTCTCCACCAGGAACTGTCTGATGCTCAGGGCATTGTGAGCAGGTGTGTTGTCATGTTGAAGCAGCCACGACTTGTGCTGCCACAACTCTCACCTCTTCTGGCGCACTGAATGAAGCAAAGGTCACAGGATCTCTTTGTAGACATTCCAGCTGATCGTTTGAAGGGGAAAATTGGTAGTTTGTAGTTTGGGTTTGAAATCTATCTTTTGTGACACCAGTCCTGGAACTTGTCTGACACACCTCGTACAGTACTACGGGCTGAGAGGCTGCCATGCAAGAAGGAAGTCTTTCCTAAGGGAGGGGTAGCTTCATTTTTGACTGACGTTTGATGCAGATCACATGGATAAAGATAAAGCCTTCTGGAGGAAAGTTCTTTGGTTATTAGTAACTACTGGCCAAGATGATCAGAAATATGTTTGGAGGAGAGAAGATGACACCCTTAACACCAAACCTTCCATTGAGCATGGTGGTGGTAGTATTATGGTCTGGTACCAGGGGACCTGGTGCTTTACACAAAGTAAATGGAGTAATGACAAAGGAAGATTACCTCCACGTTCTTTAGGAAAAACTAAAATCATCAGCCAGAAGGTTGAACGTGGACACAGTTGGATGTTTTAACAAGGCAATGACCCCAAACACACAAGAAATGGCTAAATGAGGCTAGAAATAAGACTTTAGACTAGTAACCCCAAAGTCATGACTTAAACCCGTCAAGACCCTGTGGACTGTGATGAAAAAACATGTCTGTGTTTGAAAGTCAACACATTTAGTTTAACTGCGTCAAGTCTGTTAGATGTGGTCAAAGCTTGCCAGAAGCTTGTAGATAGCTACCAAAAGCTCCAAGTTGAGATGAAAATCACCAAAGGACATTAACAGAAATATTAGAACAGCAGACTATTTTATTCACAGAGGACCTATAATAAATCTATAAAAGAACCAAAATGCACGATTGCTTTTTGTGACAAAGAAGAATGTGCTTTATTGATTCCAGCAAAGAAAATTCTCAGTTATAGGAATCATTGGAAACTTCAGACTGCCTTGATATCCTCGGTTTGGCTTTAGGCTATAATCCCTCAAAGTAAAAGTTGCACCTGTAACTGATCAGAAGCTGTAATGTGATGACTGAGTTTAGGAACAGTATTGTGGTGATAGACACTCACTTCTGCTACATTTACAGCTATCATCCACACTACTTCAGCGTTTTACGACCATAAAATGAAAATGTCTGAAAACTTAAGCATTGTGTTTTAGTCTAGATGGGACAAAACAGACACTTTTGGAAACTATGACACAATAACTCGATTGCTTTGAAATTAGGTCATGCTGTTCTTATCAGTCCCTTCCCTTTTTCAGAAGAAACCAAAGACATCAGTCTTTGCTATCTCTGGCTATTTCAACATGAACAACAAAATACAGATGCTCCTGACTTTGTTGTCTATGCAAGCAGCTGTTATGCAATTCAGTTCTTCAATTTATCATGCTGGGGCTGGTGCAGTTGGTTAGCACTGTTGCTTCGCAGCGGGGGCACATTGATCTTTCTATGTGGAGTTTGCATGTTCTCCCTGTGCAGCGTGGGTTCTCTCCAGGTTCTCCTCCTTCCTCCCACACAGTCCAAAAACATGTTGAGGTTAATTGGTGATTCTAAATTGTCCGTAGGTGTGAATGTGAGTGTGCTTGGTTGTCTGTCTCTAAGTGTAGCCCTGTGATAGACTGGTGACCTGTCCAGGGTGTCCCCTGCCTTCACCCTGAGTCAGCTGGGATAGACTCCAGCCCCCCATGACCCTAGTGAGGATTAAGCGTTGTATAGATGATGGATGGATGGATGGAATCATGGTACTACTGCCACCATGTGTAAGAGGCAAGGTATTGCTGCATTTGATGGCAGTTGGGAACTCTTAATTTCCAATCTGTGAATATCAAAAATCTAACAAAAATGCCACCAGAAGAGAAATTTTCCACTTGATTTTGTCATCTTGACTTCTGCATTTTACATCATTCCCCAAAATAGCAGCCTGCACAGCATGCTAGTGCAGCTTTTCTGCTCTTAATGAGTTTAACATCAATTGTCTAAAACATTTAACACTGTAGTTTTTACACTTTTTATGCCCTTCTGTATCCTCAATAAAACACACAATTACTGACTACTACTACCGTCTGTTGGCAAGTGTTTGTTGTTGGCCGAAAAACAATAAAGTAAACCCCAAGGGAGAGTCAAACTTGTGAAGGTTTTGTACATTGTAAAGACATAATTTCTCTGACTTCCCACTTCTGAGATACAATAAATGCACCTCATTGCTTGGTTACTTGTGACATCAGAGTGTTTATGCATTTTAGCAAACGACCATCAGTCAAGAAAGCCACAAACATCTATAAACCCTGTGTGACTGAAAGTATGAACAATTCTGCAAACTTGTGGGAAATAAACACAACAGTGAGCAGCCAGATGCTGTCACTCATAGAGAGAAAACTTCTTTGCAGATTTCCTCCGCTGACCGTCCATGTTTGATTTGTGTATGCACTTAATGACTTGACAGTGAAACAGCCCTGAGGCGCTCTTAAAGTCTGTCAGTGTATAAGTTTGCAGATTTGGATTGGAACATTTTATATGAGCGACTATTTCCTTCTGCTCCCGGTTTACATGTAAATGCATGTGATGTGCATTTTCAGCAGTGTTGGTGTGGATCTTTCTGAAACGGTATTGAAACATTTTATTGTCACACTGTATTTATACTTTTTAATCCTCTTTTTTAAAATTGTAGCAGCACCGTCTGTTTTTTCTTGCACCTTAACTTGATCTTCTACAGCACAATTTGCACCTTATTCTCCTTAAATGTAACACTTGTGAGCTACTGGATACCTGAAATTTCCCCCAATCTGTGTTTCTATCTAAAATGAAAACATGATATTGTGGATTGCTCTGATTTTACTTTTTTCACACTTATAATAATTATAAGTAGCTTTTCCCCCCTTATATTATAAAACACAAGTTATTTTAATCATATCTATTAGTACAGTTGCATGAATTGCATTTCTCATAATGTCTTGTTGAAAATATGACCGAAGAATTTTATTTTTTTTTTAAATGTGAAAAAACATCCACATTTTTAAAGTTTTTCTCACCTCTGATCAACAAAAATCCAACGAGCTGATCGATGAGAAAACGCCTCACATTGACAATTTGTTGCACAAAATTAGAATTAGTTATTTGTGTTTTAGGAGAGCAGGAACGAGCAGCAAGAATCGCAAAAACTCACCTGTGAACTGAAGCACCAGGATCAGGAAAAAAGACATTTCGGTCCATCTGAAGTCAACCATTGTGCTGCTCTGTCTCGTTTGTGTCTCGCTATCTGAACTTTCTCTGCCTCCTCTGATATATGAGATGTCACTCTGTCACCGTGACTTTAGCAAATGTTTTATCTTTTATCTGTTTTGTCAAAGTTGACCAAAAGTATGTGGAGTTCATCAGCTTTTCATCTCCTTTGAAATCCACCGGTCATTTCCGTTACCTAGAGATATAAATACCAAAACATGCCAAAGACGCTGTCCCCTCGAAGTTCCTCATTTTGGAGAAAGTTAATGCAACACTTTTATGTCTGTCATTTCCCTTTTCTGTCCCTTCTGTCCAAAAATAGGGTTAAACAAACATATTCTGTTCTATCTTGAACTGTAAATATGATCTGAAATGTCTAAGAAACACACAGTATGTCCAACGCAACCCAACAAAACTACCAGAATTCTTACTACAGCTGGTTGCATTTACCAGGATGAAAGCCTGCAGGCTCTTCTGGCCATTCTGACTCCCAGTCGTATGCACAGCTGAGGATACGTCACAGTGTGTCAATGCAGGAACAAACCTGAGCAGCCAGGAGTGAGCAGACAGGTGCTTCAACGCTGCAGAGCGCGACTGAAAGTTTACGGTGCAACGATACACTACTTTAGATTTTAGCAGTTTTTCTGTACATGCACTGGTCTTTGTATATTCAGTAGTGTTTACCTCAGTATGCACGAGTAGAGCTCAGCTTTTTGCAGCTAAACCGTGAATGTAAGCTCCTCAGGACAGAACTCAGCGGTCCACCTGCATCTTAAGGACAAAGGACACTCATTCGAAGATGACAGCGTACAGATGTTGGCCAGAGAGGGCAAATGGTGAAAGAAGCCATCTATGTCAAAGTGGAAAGACCATCCCTCAACAGAGGTGGAGGTCTGAGGCATCATCTCTCACCTGTTTACAATTCAGTCCTACGGTCTGTCCCCAGGAAGATGAAACCACATTCACACCTAGCCACAAAAGACCCTAATGAACCCTTTTGTGGCAGGTGGAGCACTAACGAGGGGGAGGAGCAACAAACTCCCAATTGAAACCGAAGCACAGGTGTTAATGGATCCTTGAGGATAGAAGTATCTGGAACTCCCAACTAGTCAGTCAGACCTGATGAAGCCTCTTGGATGAGAGGTGGAACGTCTTCAAGGAACTCAAGGAAGTCCAGTTGCTACGATTAATCTACCAGAATAACCATGACCTGGATGACTGAGAATCTTCACAGACAATTGCACTGTTAATTTGCATGACAATAAGAGCCTTTTAAATCTTTTCAATATGTTTGCACTTTGTAGGGGCAGCTGTGGAATGTACTGAAAGGATTAAGCATAAACAGTGTTCTTTACTTCACCTGTCAGGGGTTTGAATGTTGTGGCAGGTCAAACGGTGACCCCTACAGGTTTGCATCAAGATATAAGACAGAGACTCACATTAAACTCAGAGCTGCAGCTCAACCTCCAAGCATGCAGTTTAACTGATCATGACTTTAAATGTTTCCTTTATTCAAACTGTAATCAGAGGAGTATGCCTCAAAAAGAACATTTCAGCTGTTACTTAATGCATTTTCTTTTTTACGTTTTTCCATCCAATCAGAATCCACCTGTTGTCAAAAATCTGTCCTCAGTGACTCCATCAGACAACATCACTGTCAGCTGTCTGTAATAAACACACAAACCACATACAGTAGGGGTAACCAATGTTTTAATAGAATTTTTAATTTAGATATGAAACTTTTTGTAAAATAAATGATTGTTTTTTTTTTCCCAGATTGTGGCATGGAGATGTGTTGTTAAGCATATTCTGGTGACTGGAATGAAAACATTTTTAAAACACTGCAATAAAATGGGGCAGTCGTCGCTACATCAATACAATTTTCCATTCAAGTGACGTCACAGAGGTCAAGAAACAAGATCCAGCAGCTGCCTGCATCCACAAAAACCATTAAAGATAAAAAACAAAACAAACCAACAACACACGTGGTACATAGTCACAAGAGCTCTTGGTAAACATTCAAGTGCGTTAAAGTGGGGAAAGGAGAAGGTCAAGAAGAGGTATGTGAAATGAAAATGTGTGTGAAAACAAGTCCCCTTTAAAAAAAAATAATCATATACAGACAAGGTAAGACTACGTCCACATGAAGCTGTTTGTAAGAGGTTCACATGAAAATAATGGTTTTGTCGGATCTCCATTGACGCCAAAACACCTGCTCATTAAAAAAAAAAATCTCTTTTCAACTTGCTTTGTTCGTTTTTTCATTCCCATCTGGTAAGGAGCAGGACAAACACTTTGCTGAGTCTCAGCTGGTTTTTCCTGTTCTGTTCCTGTTGTCCCCGCTGACTGAGACGCGGAGCTGCAGCCATGATGCAGGCGTTTATTCTGATAGCGATTAAAGCTGCGACGATTATTTCCACTATGGCGTAATGAATTGAATCATAGCACTCGATTAAACGTGAGGTAATCGTTAACATGCCAATTACAAAAGTGACATAATGAAATGTCTTTTGTTCCAAATCCACATATATTCTGTTTACAAGAAAATAAAGCCGACAAAAATGTAGAATCAGTAAACTTTTTTTCTCTTCCACAATGACTAAAAACTTAATCCATCCTTTCCTGTCGATCACTTGCTTTAATCAACTCGCCTGAGTCAAGACATTTTCCTACGAGAACCTGCTGGACGTCAAGTCAGCTGGAGGTGGAATACCAGAGGTTGCAGCTGTATTTGAACGTGAGCACAGCAGCCGCAAGCTCAGAGGCAAGAAACGCAAACATGAGGAAGCTTCTGGCAGCTCAGCCGCCCACAAAGCGTCCGGTTGTTCGACAGAGTGTGAACATAGCAGAGACTGACATGGATGGAAAATATCTTGGACTGAAGCGCAACTCCTAAAATGTGGCATGGACAGCAGCTGGGTTACAGACAGCGATGGCATTTAACAACTGATGGCAGAGGACATTAGAAGGACGCGTCCCCATGTCCTCAGAGCCGCTGTGCTGTTGGTTTCTTGGTGTGAAACAAGTTTCTAAGTGCGAATGGAGGGAAAGAAAAAGGTCCTCGATTCAGTCAGCTTAATGTGGACGTACCCTACATCAGTGCATAAAGTTAAACAGAAAAAGCGCTCGCTGTGGATGCTGGATACTGGCTTTGTGCAGCAGCTGGTTGTGAGACTTTCACATCTTCTTCAGTTCATTGAGGCTCCGACAGCCTCGTCGGCTTCACGGTCGCTGACCTGAAGCTAGACTTTTCACCGGCTGGACCCGTGTACAGGGAAGGGAGAGAACTTCAGCCAGCAGCTGGTAGCTTTGGGCCATGGCTTTTTTTTTTTTGATTTGTCCGCTGTCCAATCCATTTTGAAAGGTAACCAGCCAGGACCTGCAACAAGTCCTCTCCTGTGCTCTAAGCTGGCTGGTGGATTCATCAAAGTGGCCGGTCAAGCTTTGGAACATCAAAAGTTAGGTGTCTCGCCCTTCCCGATTGTAGTTTTCAGTGCAAATCGGTAAGAAAAGTCTTTCTTACATCCACTGTGCCTCACACTGAAGGAGCTGGAACAAAGTGCCTCAGTTTGCAGGGGACTTTTTTTTTTTCTTTTTTGGAAAATCCTCAGTAACAAAACTAGAATCTCAGTTAAAATAACAAGAAAATATACACAAATATTTGTTTACAATATATTATGTACATTTACACAAGCTTAAAAAGTCGAACGCACGGCTGCCTTTTCAAAAGTGTTCACAGAGAAAGTGCTGTCGTCACTTTGCATCGCGTAAACTCGAGACACTGAGTGTGTTGCTGCTGGAGACGACCTCAGACTCCCACACGCTTCCCACGAATTAGATAACACTATTTTCCTCCTTTCTTCTGCCAAAAAGAATTCAGTCAGTATCTGATAAACACCTGACATACACAGCATGTCAGTCAGATTCCTAGCAGCAACACAAAGTGTCCAAAATGTTCACAGATGCAGGCAGCGTGTTGGCTAATGAGAAATTGTATTACAGTGAATTGAAACTCCCTACATTGTATTGCAGTGTGTTAAAAGCCAAACTCCATTTAATTTTCCTTTTAAATTTCCCAATTGTTGGCGTTAATTGCTGATCGCATATCAGAGAGATCAGCTCCAATCACAAAACGCCAGGCTAGTCATGATTTATCCTGAACCTTCAGCAGTGACTTTAAATGAACAGTCATTTGCTCCCTGCTTTGGTTGCTTTGTTGTGGCTCGTTTTCTCCGACCCAGTGACTGGGCGGTTTGGGTAAGACACTGGGTGAGGGCGGCTCGCTGAACTTGGCTCCGGCGTAGACCTTCTCGGCATCTTTGAGGTATTCGGGCAGGGCTTCAGCAGGCGGAGTGTTCACGATCTTCACGTTGTTGGAGGCCAGGAGGGGTTTTTTCTGCTCTCGGTGTTGAGGCTGGGGTAAGGGGGAGGGCTTATTGGGGCTGCTGTTGTCCTTCTTCTTCGTGGAGTGCGAAGCGCTGGGTGTTTGGCTCTGCTTGGGCTTGTGGCTGCGGGCATTCACATTCTGGGTGATTTGATCGTGTCTGGGCAGGTTGCGGGCAGGTTGGCCTCCTGGCTGCGTGGCACCTCGCTCCGATCGGCCACCTTTGGATTTCAGCAGCTACGAAACAGACACAGTCATTAATCCAACTGTAAAGTAACAGAACTCGAAAATAGATATTTTTTTACAGCAGAGACATCCAACTGTGAGGAAGAAGTCTGTGCATGTGTGTTTGTTGTTGAGGCTTTTGTCAACAACTGGTCATGTGACATACTTCCCACTCAGCGGGTGTGTTGCTGAGGACCCAGTGTTGAGTGTGAGGTTGTTTAAATGAGCGAGCTTCGTATTTTGGCTCAAACTTTCACAGCAGTGTGTTTCAGCAGGATTTGCTCATCATGTACTGACTCCAGCTTTTTCTAAACTCAAACCGTACGCAGTCTTATTACCACCGAATATAAAGTTCTCTTCGGCGCTACCTTTACAAACTCTCACCTGTCCCACTATCTGATTTATCACTGTTTAACCCAGTGACTAATGAAAGTCTGGTTTCTGTTTGGTTAATTAGCAATAGCTGGCTTGAAGCCCAGTATCGCTATAATGGTCCTCTCTGAACTTTATGTGTGTGATCAATGCAGTCATGTTTTTGTGTATTGTTTTGTATATCGTACAGCAACACACACACGGCCCACTACGTTCAGTAAATGTTAGCCTATGCACATAACATCAATCTAGATAATGTCATGTATCTGTATTGCAGTTCCACATCGATGTTGCTGAATCATTTACAGATAAATGTTGGCAGCCTGAATCACTGTGTGGTTACTGACACTCCCCATTCCTCCTGCGACAAACAATTCAATCAGTTCCTCAACACACACCTTCAGAACGGAACTTTTTCTCAGAGTGTGTGAGATGAAACTTGAAGTGGTCGCATTCGTGCGAGTGCATGATACTCATTAAGCTGCACTGGTGTCACTGTAACCGCAGGCAGCTACTGTGTTAACCACTGTGGTGGAAAGCAGCACTTTAAAAACTTTGGTGGTTTGGTCAGTGTGTCTCTGCTCGGTACGTCAAACAAGCTGTTGAGCTGCTGTGTGTGAAAAAGCAGCTGATTATTTAAAAAAATAAAATAAAAAAAATGAGGAAAGCCAAAGTAGTTCGGCCGCAAAATTAAATGATCATTAACAACAATAATGATTTCAGCTTCGCACCACTACATGAACACGGTCCACTGGGTTATTTACTCCTAAAAATCATCTCGTGAAATGTGGAGCGCATCTGCATTCACTGTTTTTTTTTCCACACATAGAAAACAGCACACGTAGAAAAAAAAAATCACTTAATCTCAGACAAATCTTGTGTGAGCAAACCACAGCATCGACCGCAGGCTGCAACGTGAGGCGTTCAGGGAACATCAGTCAATTGTAGTGTCTATCAATAAGAAAATGTTCAGCAAGTCATGTGTTTTGCTGTGACAAGGCGGAAGTGAAGGGTGCTACCAGTGACAAAGTTAGTCTGGAGCCCTCACTAGTGGTGTAAAATAATAATAAAAAACACTGTCCTATCATCATTTTTTAACTAATCCCAGTTAACCTCCTCAGCCATCGCTAAGGTGCTTGATTAACAGGTAACAGCATAAATTGTGATTGCCTTCATATTGCATCATGTTATAAAATGTGTTTCAAGGGCAGGATTGGACTCTGCTACCACTGAGGTTAAGTACACTAAGTAAACCCACACATATTCAAGAGACCACAAAACAGAGTCCCATCGCAGCGGCTACAGCTACTTCATCCGGCTCTGTGTTTTTGCTGCAAACATTTATCTGCACGAGGACAAACCCAGTAGTCCACGTCAACGCCTTTCTAAAGATGACGTCGAGATGTGCAGTGGTGGAGGCAGTATTCACATTATTTGCTTAACCACACCTAAAAAGAACTAAGCAAAAGTGAAATGAATAAAAGATGCTAAGATGTTTAAAGTAAATCAGTGTCTTATGTGACGGGGACAACGCAGAGAATCACAACCTCCATCAAAATCATTCAAATCTTAAAATTACAAAGTCTGGCAAACCTCAATCTAACGTTCATCAAACTTCCTTCACAAACCTAATTTCCTGCTCTTGTTATCTTTCGTGCCTGTGTTCTTTACATCAGTGCCTGGCCCATAGCAACAGCTCAATTTAACAAGTAAACAATTCAATTTCTACCTCATAAAACATTTGTGACGTCGTTCGTTTCACTCCACCTTAAGCTTTATCTCCTTCTCTTTTATTGTGCGGACTAACTTGCCTTCATTGTGCAATCTGGGGGAATTTCCTGAGCCTGAATCAGCTGCTGGAAACAGAAGTGTTCATCACATGATGGCTTCACTGTAAAAACTACGTCACTTCAAAACGCCTCGAGCACAATAGTAGATTTAATCACACTAAACTCACTTCAGAATTGCATGAACATTTTGTTTGCTTGAGTTTAAGAACTTTTGATGAGATCTTGTAAATATACATCATCAAAAACACAACAGAAGTGATGTAAACAGGGCTTGTGTTATTGCTCAGGTGGATAAAATATCAGGGATGCAGCATCACACTGACCAAAGTGTTTCCCCTTTACCATCTTCTTTTGTCTCATCAGTCCCCATCCAGCCTCACTAATACTACACGTACACAAATACTGACATAAGGTGTAAGAAACCCAACAAACAATCAGATCTTGAAATAAACTGTGAATAAAACCAGACTGATGCTGGAGCTCCTCTGGTCAGATGCTACAAGAACACAGTGTCCCTTCAGAAAACAGCCAATATGGTGCATTCTGAGGTTTGTTATTGATTTCTGGTAGGAAGTGTGAGCTGAAAATGTCCAAACTGGGTAAAAATAGCCCTGTTGTTTACCCCGTTAGAGGCGCGGACTTGTTGGTAAACAGCTATTGTTGAGCCCCACAGAGCTGCAGCACTGCGGGCGACAACAGCCACAAACCGGACACTCACCTCCTTCTTGGCTCCCTGTCTGAGATGATGGAGGGTCAGCACGGTCTGCGTACCGGCAGGGTGCTCGGTACCGGGCTGGACGGCGGGTTTGTTGACGGATGAAGCCGTCAGGGTGTTGTTGTTGTGGTCGGACAGGCGGACGTTGGGGCAGTTTCTCGGTGGTTTATGGTGATGCAGCGGCGCCGTCGTCGTCGTCCGCAGCTTCCTGCCTCCTTTCTTCAGCAGCGCCTGCTTTGTTTTGTTCATCCCGTCGCTGCTGGAAATGATCGGGTTGTTGTTTTCGACGTTGCCGATGTTGGCTTCATCGCTGTGAGCCTGAGATCCGTCCAACATGACTTCGAAGCGGCGAAAACATAAACAGGCTGTGAAATTCCTCCGCAGCTAAGTTGTTTTAGCTAACAACGTCACAGGCTAGCAGCTAGCTAACAATTAGCTAAGTCGAAGAAGGAGCTGTCTTCTTCGAGCTGTCCTCGAGCAGAAAGCAACGCTGAACGAATGTAACGTTATATTGTCGCCTCGGGAGCTCCCGTGAGTGAACTTGTGGGTTTTGAATTGTTGCTGCTGTAATAATGGACGCCTTGTCCTGAGATGGCGCGTCGATACCAGTGAGCCTGTAAACGGAAAGAGAAGTAGCTTCAATGCTAAGTTAGCCACAATGAGACGGGTGACTTCCGGTAATGCCTTTCAAAATAAGACGCCTCACTGCCCACGAGGCAAAGTACAGAGATTTACTGCGGATTGCATCAAAAGAAAAACTATGTTTACACAGGGGGCATTCTGAAATACATATTTGATATAGTGTAGACTACTCAGCTACTCAGGGAACTATCAAGATACGTTCAGGGAATGGTCCATGGAGGCTAGTTTTTTTGTAATATTTGGGGATGATTGGTTTAGGAAAAAGTGCTGCCATCATTTAAAAGCATTTTGTTACAAATAAAAGACCTGAGCTCACAGGAGTACCCAGTAAAAGCAGCTTAATATCAGTGTAATGCACTGAAAGTATCTAATGTCAAAGTATCACAACCTGGTCTGAACAGCTGATAGCTCTCAACTTTTGCTGCTATGTTGACACTAACTGTTATATTATTATTGTATAAAAACTATATATCACACAATTAAAGCTTTAGGTGTCTTTCCCTTCTCAACACAAGAGAAATATGTTGGAAAGGCATAGTTAAAATATACCTAGATGGATTTACCATCTAAAAACAGAGATGATGCTTTTAAGTTGTCATTCATATTATGTAAACTCCCTCCAGGCTGCTAAAAACCCAAATAAAACTGGACTCACTTGGCGCCTACAGCCCTGATTATTATGTGGGCACAATGGCATATTAGTGTCACTTCATAATAGACTATTACAATTACACAGTTTTCATGAATGAGTAGTTTAGCATGACTATGAAATTGTAATGATATTGTTTTTGATCAGATAAATTATTCTCAATGTTGGGTGGAGCAAAAATCAGTAAAACATAAGCCGTAGCTTATGCATGAATAAAAATGAGAAATTATACGCTTACATTGGTTACTGCAGAATACTGGGACTTTATGTTATTAGTAACTTTCATTACAATTATTTTATAGAGCAACTCTCCCAACTGTCGGTGTTATTGTGTTGAGCTTGACGCATCTCCTCAGGGCCTGTATTTCCAGTAAGGGGCGTGGCAGACTTCATCCTGTCAGTGACGTTTACCTTTGATTAGGCTGCACCCAACTCTGGGAGAAACTTTAAGACAACAAATAATAAACAACAAAAAATATGTCATCATTAACATTACGGCATTGTTAATGTGCACATCGATGCATGTACCCTTTTAAAAAGTTATTTCCTCTACTCTGGTAGTTTTTTTTGTTTTTTTTAAATGCATACTGGTGGAGAATAAATTTAGTTTCAGTTTAGTTTCTGCTGAAAACAATCTTTGGATCGTCATTAACCCTTTCACACAACGTTTGATGTGGAGTAATTGTGATTTGTTGTTCAAGTAATTAGTTTTCTTCTATTTGTTTTACTAAGTTGGTTAATCAATCACTGTCTGTGACAATTACTGATGTCATTTATTGTCAAAGAAAAAAAAACGGAACAAAATCAAAATGCTGATTTCAGCTTATCATTTGTAATGTTGTGCTGCTTTTTTGTATGTCACTGCAAATTGAATTTAATTACTTTGGTCGGACATTTCGCTTATTTTTTGAAGATTTTAGAGGCTAAATGACCAATTATACCTCTTTTTCCCTTTGTGTATGAGCTGCTCCCTATTAATGAAATAAACCTTTCTTAATATAACATGTAGTTTGGTAATACAGTGTGTATGAACAAACACACATCCACTGACACTGAGCACAGGTTTGCTATCACACAGTTTTACTGTATAAAACGTGATCAACATCTGACAATTCCATGTTCGCAACAGACCCTCAAACTCATCTTCATAACATTCAGTAAAATGTTTCTTCGCTATACCTACACTGTCATCCTTCTTTTTAGAACCAGGATGAACTTGTTCAAAAAACACTCAATATAAATTGGTGGCCTAATACTTTTTTTTTCATACAGTACTTGTTGTAAGTGCACAAAAGTCTGAAAACTACTAATCAACAGTGAAAAAACACAGGAGTTAACAGTGCCTATGGAAGATACTCACCTCCTTTGGAAGTTATCCCCTTTTATTGCTTTTCAACATGAATCAGTCGGCTTAATCTGGCTTTTTTGGTGACTAATTTTTGTCAAAGTTAAAACAGATTTCCACGAATGAGTATCGATTAAAGACATAGTGATTACATAAGTGACTCACCTAATTTAAGACAGCTGCAGCCCATCATGCTAGACATGGAAATCATCTGAGTGCAGTTAATGTGTCTTAACTGATTGTAGTAGAAAGATACTTGAATCTGAAAGGTCCAGTCACTGGTTAATCCATACTCCTGGCTATGAGGGAGGCCACCAAGACAACTATGACTCCTCTGAAGGAGTTACAAGGTTCAACAGCTGGGATGGTAGAGACCCTGCATACAACAACTGTAAAGCATGGTGGTGGCAGCATCATAACATGGGGATGGTTCTCAGCAGCAGGCCTTTTAAAAGTAGAGGGTGAAATGAATGCTGCAAAGCATTGGAAAATTCTGGATGACAAGCAGATGCTGCAAGAGAACTGTGACTTGGGAGAAGATTTGTTTTCCACACAATGAAGCAAACCATCAGAACTACAGAGACATGTTCAAGGTGAATGTTCTTCAGTGGCTGAGTCAGAGCCTGGACCTCAATCCAACTGAGAATTTGTAGCAGGACTTGAAAAAGGCTGTTCACTCATTAACCCTGTGTACCCTGACAAAGACTGAGCAGTTTTGCAAAGAAGAATGTGGTAAAATTGCAGTGTCCAGATGTTCAGGCAGATGGAGGCCTGTCCACACAGACTCAAGGCTGACCAAAGGTTCATCTACTAAATGCTGAAAAGCAACACAAGACAAAAACTTCAAAGGGTGTTGAGTATTTCTTACAGGCACTGTAATCCACTACAGTAATCGGCTAATACCTATTTGGCAAAGAGAACCAAGAAATGTAAAGGCAGATCTGAAACTCTCACAGGAGGACATATTAAAGGTTTGTTTCAGTACAAAAAATAGATATATAAACAATATACAAATACAACATAAAGATCTAAAGTATCCATCCCTGTGAGTGCAGTACATATCGTTTGTCACAATGACCACTGAAGGCAAATCAAAGAGACGTGGAGGGTCCTGGAGGTGTTTGTCTTTGTCTGCACGGTGGCGGCATCATCAGGGTTCAAGACTGCGCCTCCTCAGCGGCAGGATCGTCGTAGATGTAGCTGCCGACGCCTCCAGTGTTCACACCTGAGACAGAGTGAAGATCAGGTCAGTCAACAAAATATATTCCTACATGCAAAACCCCTTCCTGTTGTTTATAGTTGCTCATCGATGAGGCAACTATAGAGTAATCGTGTTTGTTTTTGGGTGTGTGTGTTTTGTTTTTTTTTGTCTGTTAACAGTGTAGCGCTTTACAGGAGAGGAGTTTGAACCTGAAACTTCATATATAACCTCGGTATGGTCCCTTCTATGTCTGATTAGATTTTTGGGTCAATACATGCATTGGTGAGCGCTACAGAGGTCAGAGGTCGCATTTCACAAAAACAGCTCTGCATGACTGAAAATACACAAAAAGTAATAAGTTTAGTATACTAACTATAAACTGGTGATGTAACATATGACCCTGAGACAAAGGTCAAGATCACACTGGAGGTCTTAAATCATCACAAATTTTAAATCCAATATAACTTGCAAAAGGTGTACGATAAACACATAGTTTCTTATTATAATCGATAGAAACCCGTATTGGTGATGTGACATTTGACCTCGGACAAAAGGTCAACTGCCCAACCCCCTCTGCACTGTGGCTTCATACCTTTGGGTCCAAACAGCACAGCATAGCACGGTTTGTGGCAGTAAGGCTGTCCATCATGCTGCAACACAGAGAAAAGAGCTCATCTTAATTCTCCCATACACAGTACACATACACTTGTGTTGTTGTGAACATAAAATCAACATTTATACATCAGTAAAAAAGACATGACTCATTATTTCTACAAGTTAAATAGTCCAACACTTTTCAAACGTGTGCTCACAAAAACATGTTCTGGAAAAAGCTTTATGTAAAACCCACTGGTCCACATGATATGGTTTTACACCTCAACAGCCTCTCATTCGGCCATGGTTGGTGATATGTTTCTTTTTTAATATCGGAGACGACCAGAGCCATATTTATAGCTACGCATGATTAATGTACAGTAAACTTCATTCGCTTGCACAACAGGAAAATGTCATGACTTGCACTGCTGTTACTGCTTCACATTTTACAATTAACATCAATGATAACAAGCTAAAAGACGGCACAACTGTTGTTGTCAGGGCCCTGAGCAGACTGAAAATGGATGTAGTTACTGTTTGCACTAGTTTCACGAGTTAATTACATGAGCTCTGTCTCCAGCGCTGCACCTACTTTCTGTTTAATGCCTTCATTGATTCAGCAGCTGCCTGTGCTGAAACCAGATACAATGTGAGGTTTGTCTGCTGTATTTAATCTATTTTTCTAGTCCAATGTGTTTAGGTTGTTTTCAGTTGTATAGAGATAACTGATGACTGTTATGCTGTGTGGGGTCGACTCGGGTCGCACATTTGAGAGTGCTACTATTCCTAAATCATACATGTTGCTATGTAAAGGAACACGATACTCATGTTCCCTTTCTGGGTATTTTAATTTCAGTAACTACCACCACAATGTGCAGAAACTCTGAATCGGGTTCCCTGAGTAAAGACATTCAGCGGTATTCAGTGACTCTGTGTTCTTAGACAGGAGCTCTGTCGTGGTCCACGTATTATCCAGTCAGTCTCAGAACAATCATAAAGAAAAAACGGCTACAAAGTGAAGAAAATAAAAGCATGGGCCCCTTCAGGGAAAATATGCTTTTCATGTTCATACAAAGCACATCAAGCGGTTATCGTGACAAGAAGATGTACAGTTGTCCTCAAATATTCATACCCTCCCATTAAGGAAGGAAAAAAACATCTGTCACTGAAATAAGTTGAAATAGACAAAAGTAATAATGAATAAAAATGTTATGAAAATCATGACATTGCTTTTGAATTGTGGTTCAACACAAATACATGTTAAAACAAACAAACAAACAAACAAACAAAACAAGCAAACAAGCATGATGGAACTAATATTTTGTTGAACAACCCTTTGAGCCAATCACTGCAATCAAGTGTTTTCTGCAAAGTTTTTCTTTTCTTTTTTTTTTTTTTTCAACCACAATTCAAAAACAATGTCTTATTTCACTAAATTATAATTTAGCAAATTTTTATTTATTATTACTTTTTCAGTTTCTAATTATTTGACTGACTATTTTGAATTTTGCCTTTTCTTTAACAGAAGGGTATAAATACATTGGAGGACGACTGCAGATGAAGCTAATGGGGATTTTTTTTAACTTTTTGAAAATTCACTCTTGTGCACTTTGCACAAGCACCTCAGCAAAAAAAACCATGATAAATCATATCAAATTTCTGTCCTAATAATGGAAGCATGATTTTGTGAGTGTTAACAACAGACCAGTGTTGTAGATAAAAGTGATTTTTGGCCATTTTCTTGATTTTTGGTATCATTATATTTAGTAGTTCCAGATAATATAAATCAATATTTTAAAATGCACTACTTTGGCTATGATCAGTACTGAAGGATACAAAGTTCTGTTTTTAATTAAAACATATGCAAAACAAAGACATTTCAACAAAGTGTTGGAGTTTGAATGAATTCAATCTTTGATGCCAAGTTCTCACTGCAAGTGCATATCAGTTTCAAATACTGTCATAAGGGTAACTAATAAATAGAATCGATAGTGGCTCTGAATAAACCACCTGTTTCACCCTAACTGTGGAACTTTACATGGAGATTATCGTTTCTCAGACCTTCATTGTCAGATTCAGGGATCATGACTAAATGATTCATCTTTTTTCACTCTCTGACACCTTTTCAACACAAAACAAAACGCCATTCCTGCTTGTGTATATTGTCTAAAGCCCTGTATTAGGAATGTTTTGAGCACAGTTTTATTGCTTAGCGGACTCTCATCGCTCACCTCTGCGTGGCTGCCTGCTGCCAGAGTCTTACTGCACCTCTCACAGCGCAGACAGGGCCGGTGCCAGTTCTTCCCCAGAGACGACACCTTCTCAGCTGCACAGACACACAAACAACCGTGGAAATAGTCACTAGACACATTACAACAGATACGTGCAAGTCATATTTAACTTAAGATGGGAGATATGAAGACATTAATCTGCTCACCAAAGTATACCGTCTTGTTGCATCTGGGGCAGATGTTGGGTCCTCCAGAGAAAGACGAGAAGCTCGCAGCTGGAAAAGTAGCACTGAGTTAGAAAACAGTCTGTGGGGTGATTCGGGCTACATTTGGTGATGCATTAGTGTCGGTGGGTTAAAACATTCCTGCAATTAGGGCTGTCATGATTATGACATTTTCATTTGTCATAAAATAACAGTGATTAACAATTAGTCCTTTTCTGTTCACTTAATGTGTCAAAGAGCTTTAGATGAGTTAGATCTTATATCTAGATGAGCTCCTTTCATAAGCCGACATTACAAAGTCCCACTGGCCCGCAAAACATCTATAAAAAAAATCCTTTATTCCCACTGCAATAACCACCCTGAACAAAATAAAATAAGACACTGAACAGTACATCTATCTATCTATCTATCTATCTATCTATCTATCTATCTATCTATCTATCTATCTATCTATCTATCTATCTATCTATCTATCTATCNATCTATCTATCTATCTATCTATCTATCTATCTATCTATCTATCTATCTATCTATCTATCTATCTATCTATCTATCTATCAAATTATCATATTAGTGCCTTGTCCAACAACATTTTAACTTGTCTTTAAATCATATATGATGCTCCGGTGTTTGACTTTGCAGCTGAATCCATGAAGGTAGCATCATCAAAATACGTTTGGTACAAAATTAGGAGCTAAGTGTTGTGAATATATTGTTGAAACTGTGATTGAAATATGACATGTCATCCAGCTTTTAAAACAGGTGAATGTAACTGACTATCAATAATGCAGAATGATTACAGTCAGCGTCAACAGTTTTGATCAGGCTGTGATGTAACAACTGCAACAGGCCTGTGTGCTAACAAACTGACCTGAAGTGAACCTGATCCTCCCAGAGAGCACGCTGTTCTGGCAGACACTGAATTTCTCTTCTGAACAAATTACAGTTCTTCTATTTTTGCACCACATATTTCTCACCCTTCACTGGTCCCCGAGCGGGGGCTTTTTTCTCCTCCTGTGGTTTGGCATCTGTTTCCATGGAAACAGCTGCAGGAGCTTCATTGACAGGAGCGTCGTACACGTAGGAACCAGCTCCGCCGATGTTCACGCCTAAAACACATGCAGATTGTGCATTTTTTAAAACCTGAAAACCATGTATCCAGAGCCAGTATTTTCCATACGTGCACACAGGAGGAAGCTGCACCTTTTGGTCCAAAGAGGGCGGCGTAGCAAGGCTTGTGGCAGTAAGGCTTCCCATCGTGCTGCACAATGTAAAAGAGAGTGACAGAAAACAGAAGCAATGATTACTTTAAAGTCTCAGAGTGAATCTAGGCCATACTACTTTTTATTTTTTTTATTACTGTTTTGAACCAGAGCAATAAAGTGAAGTTTGATACCGTTTTGTTTTTAGTCGTACTGGTTTCACACGATGCCAAATAACAAATGAACCAGGACTTGGTGTTAGACACTCACAAGACTTGTGTTCTCTGTGTTGTTTTCTTTCTTTCTTTCTCCAATTTATAAGACATGAACGAAACTGCTAAAAAGTACACACTTCCTTTTACGATCCTCCTCAAATGCCAGGAAAAACGACGTGTTGTTTATAGCAATTGAAAGTAATGCGTCTTTTCCAGGAATACATCTTCAGCTTGACTTTCTGTGTATAATCTCTTTCAGGCATAAAATATGCAACACAGCCTCATCTAAATTACTGGTCCTTTGTCATCCAGACGTCAGTGATCTTTATGTAAATGTTCTGTTGTGGCTTTATTAGGTCACGTCAGGATGACTTATCCACACAGGAGGCATTTCAGCCGTGTTTCTGAGACTTTTGAACAGTGGAGCTGACACCACTCTTGTCAACTCACCTGTAACAGTAAGTTATTCTCTCAGTAAAAGCTTTTTAAAAGACAGCCAAAGTGATGGAAACGATACAGTTTGATAACGTAGTTATATATAACAGGACTGCAGAGTTCACCTGGACAGGTCGCCAGTCTATCACACATAGAGACAGACAACCAAGCACACTCACATTCACACCTACGGACAATTTAGAATCACCAATTAACCTCAACGTGTTTTTATAATGTGGGAGGAAGCCGGAGCATGTGGTGAGAACCCACGCTGCACAGAGAGAACATGCAAACTCTGCACAGAAGCTAAGTTTCAAACCACAGAACCTTGTAGCTGTGAGGTGATAGTGCAGGACTTTTATATTCATTATATTCAAGTCCATGCAAAACTAGTGCACACAACGCTGGGTAAATTTGTCTGTATTCTGCTGGATACCAGAGCTTTAAATCTGGTATCTGAGGCAGCATTCCTCTGCTGATGCACTGACAGTGATGCACTTTACATCAGCCAGAAACCACTGGGTTGCCAGAGCTGAAGAGAGAAGCAACCGTAGCCACGGAGACGGAGCAGACTAGGAGTTTGATGGAGCATAAGGAGGAAAAACCAAGGAAGCATCCAAGAAAAGTTTTCAGTGCACTATATACTATAGATATAAAAAGAAACCTGCTATTCAGAGGAAAGACTACAGTGTAAAAAAGAAAGCCATTAGCAGAGATGCACACATTAATGTTTCTGTCACTGTATGAGATCATCTTGTACTGCACTGACTGTGACAAGCACACTCAGAAATACTTCTGGAATGAAGACAGTCTCAGTCAGCACTGATTAAACTGTAGGAATGATGATGGACTGTACTGAAATGTATTTTAACTATGGGGTCCCTCAGAAAAAGTGAACGAACTATATCGGCTACAAATGTTGCATATGTAGAATGACACAAAAATGCAGAAATATTAAAATTTAGTCCATCACATTTCATAAATCTAGATTAAACAATCATTTAAACAAACTATACAGACTTCCTCACCTCAGCATGGCCTCCTGGGTTCAACGTCTTGCTGCAGCGCTCACATTTCAGACAGAACTTGTGCCAGTCCTTCCCTAAAGATGACACCTTCTCCGCTGTGGAAGGGGAAGAGACAGAAATCATTACCATTTAAAGAAGTCACAATCATTTGAATTAAACTGCATCATAAAACTACTATGCTAGACGCTTGTGTTTATGGCGTTTGTTGAACATAAGATGAATAGACTCCTGGGCAAAGAGCCACACTGAGAGCTGTGTAACACGTTAAAGACGAAATCGGAACTGTTAGAAATGCACCAACAGAAATGGCGCAGAAAACACAATCAAATCAGACCAAAGACTGTAACATTCTTGTTAAAAATACTTAAGATATCTACTGTTACTGTGACAACATGTCGATTCAATATCAAAAGAAGAACCTACGTCTGTGAAAAGGTATATAGAAGCTGCTAATTTTTTAATCTAAGTCAGTTTTCTGAAGTGCACACAAAAAGAGAACTTTCCACACGGGTCAGTATTAGTGCTAAAACAACAAGAGAAAATGTTTTTAATCCTCTCTTTGTGCACAAATGCAGCCTTCCTCCTCAGACAGCATCCTTTTGCTTGCGTTTTGAAAAGTTTCCTTTTTTTTGTGTGTGTGCAAATGTCATGTAAATTATTCTGGTTTTAAATGCGACTACTTATTTAAAGCCTCCATGTGTGGGTCCAACAGTCATTAGAAGAACTGACATTCACTGTTATTAAGATTTTTGTGGGGGAGAGATCAAGTATCAGCATATAAAGTGGAGCAGCAATTCAAGTTTTGACACAACCTGAATACGTAAGCAACAATTTCCTCTGAATCACAGGTCGAACAGTGCAGTTGTGTGACAGAGCTGCTCGTCTACGTGATAGGCAGCACTTAATGGGCACTTAAGAGTTCATATCAGCCTAAAGCACATTCTTTCCACTTCGTTTTAAAGGGCAGTGCGATGACTCAGAGATTTCCATTTTTGTATCAATTCAGCTGTTTCATGGAGCGACTGGCTGTTCCTCCATCACCGGAACACGATGTTGCTGTAACGATTTCTTCCACAGCTAAAGCTAGCCTTCACCTAAGTCTAAACTTAAAGGATTACTTTGTGCTCATTTGCTTTGTAAGCTGTGAACCGAGCCAAATGAGAAGGGCTGTACCAGACAGAGTATTTTGTGTAAAACCTAAACCATGGAAAATTTGTGAATTGTGACAGAAGTGTGCCTACAAAGAAAGGAAAAGTCACTTAATCAATAAGAAACCTGACATTTAACTGAAGGATTATATAGGCTACTGGACTATTTCTTGTTCTGGATCAGCTGCCAGGCAATGAGCAGCGACACCAGGAAGTTAATGGTCCTGGCTGAGTTTACATAAGTTAAATAGTTTGACTGTTCAGTGGATGTTGTTACCTTTGGGCTGGGACTATATCACCATATGCTCAGCCAGTCTACACTAGAAAGCTGCTTGCTAAAGTCTTTACATTTAAAAGACAGTTTTAGAGTGGTATTAATTTCAAATAGCCAGACTTATCTAAACAGTGCTGGAGAATGGTCTGACTGCATCTTGTTATCAGTCTGATACTTAGGCTCTGATTTGTTTGTATTTCTTCAAATCAGTCATAATAGTCTTGGGTGGAGTTAAGCCCGGTATGCAGTGGTGGTGCCCCTGCAGAATAGTGACAGGGGAATTGGTTTAGTGGAATATTTGCATGCAGGGATGCAAACGTGGTCGTCAAAATGACTAATTCACCAAAAGAACCAATCTTATTGCACCATCCATATCAAACTTTGAAATTTTCAGCACGTAGATTGCTGCTCGGATGTTGTTGTTGCTGTTTCCTACAGTGAGGGAGATTCTTAAAACAGCACCACACAGATAGTGAACAGAGGGAAGAAAGCTGTGTGATTTATACCCACAGTCTACATCTAGTCAGACTAGAGCGGTATCAGTGAAGCATACTCATCAAATAAACAATTACTTCAACTTTCCAACTGCTTACTCACACGGTCACTCACTCGTATTAACACTCAGGATGCTGACTCTCAAAACCGACATAGTTGAATGAAAAAAGATGGAAAAATAAAATTCTGATACAGAGACAGAACTGATTTCCAACATATGAAAGACCTCTATGGCATGTGCTCAGTATTTTGTTCTGATTGAAGGACTCATGTAACTATTAACTATTTAGCAAGTGAAGGCTAAAAAAAATACACACTACAAATCCAGGGCAAAAACTCCCTACTAAAAAGTACAAGCTGTGTCAGCAAAACGAAAAACCATATGAGCCGCCGCTGCCTTTTTCTGACTTCTATCCAAATAATTGATGCAGTTCCTCAGAAAAAAAGCCTTTGTTCAAGCCACTCAGCAGTTTCAGTCACAGAGACGTTTGTAGAAAAGGGAGAAGGACTGACACAGAGTTCACTGACAGTTGTTTATCTGTTTGTCCTCTATCCCAAAATATCCCTGCAGATACACTGAGCCTGATACAACATGACTCTTCCTGGTCAGACTCAGTGGCTGGTCAGCCTGTCAGTGTGATATGTGACAGGGAGTCACATTAGCACAGGACATGTGTGTGTAACAGCTGTACAGTAGTTTTCTTATTGCTTCTTAACATTGCAGCTGTAAAGAAAAAATCACATTAACCCCAGGAGTACATTTTAAAAGAATAATACCTGGGTTCGTGATGTTGTCATATTCCTTCCATTCATTACTTTAATAAACAAACTACATGTCTGCTCGTGGTCTCATGGTCTGCTACTCCACTCCTCCTTTTCCTGTCTCTGTTCAAAACAGCTCACATTTAGTTGGAATCAGTTTTTGCACCAAAAGAAAAATGACGACATTGTAGCCGGATATCCTAAAGTAAACACCATCACCGAGGATACAATTTATTCATTATTATGCACATATCAACTACCTTAAATTCCCCGTACAGCTTCACAACAACAAGTCACGCCGCCTGAGGGCATCACATTTCTTTTGAGATGCACATTTTTTTTGGGAAGCATCAGATTTACTGCAGAATTTCAAGTAGAAACAGGCGAGAGCGGCACGCCGGGCTGAGCCTGCAGGGCGGGGTTCGGCTCTCCAGAGAAATGAAGAGGAAAGAACAAAAAGAAAATTGATCCATTCGACAAATGTGTGATCAATAAATTATTTACCAAGCCATATGGTGTTGGCTTCAAAATGAAGAGAAGCTAAACAGTGATATGTGATCATTAAACTGTCTACCTTAGCAAGATGATACCATTCTTTTCTCTCATGTGGAGTATTCAACGATATTGATTACAGTCAGGTAAAAGACGTGTCCAGTAACTAGAGATCATCCTGCAGAAGCATGAAGGGGATTTTATATGAACTGTCACATTAGACAGTTTAGACTGCTGATCTGTTAATGACTCCCTGTAATCATATCCGTAGCTACTGAATCCATTACTGCAGGATCTGAGCGATGCTGATGCACAGCAGTTATCTACTGCAGACTGGGACTCACTAGCTGAGGCATTTTTGAATCAGTTTTGGAGATAATCTGCCACTTTTACTTCACATCTAATCTCACAACATGTCTGTAGCGCACAGCAGTGAGTTTAAGTCAGACATTTTGTTGTACTGCTATAATGTTGTTGGCTATTAAAGGGGACCTACTCGTTCATTTCCAGGTCTTTATTTTTCTTCTAAGACTCCACTAAAATACCTTTACATGATTCCTCATGGGCCTTAATGCAGCTCCTCAATCATCCACCGTCTGAAACAAGCAGCTTTAGCTCCTGTTTCTTTAACTGTCACCTCCATGACTTTGAAAAGACTTGTTCCCTGAGCCCCGCCTTATTCTCATGCAGATGTGGAGGTTTTGAAAGCAAACTGTAAACCGACTGAGTAACATAATATCTCATTTTGGACTGAAAAGAGCAACTTCTTAAATCAATGTGTGCATGTGGAGCTTCATCCGATTTGGAGCTCATGGGCTCATTAACTGCTTATTGTGTGACATAACGGTGGATTTAGTCTTTCAAACACAAGCTGTATGTATTAAATCTGTATACGTGTGGAAATGCACTGAAATGTTGACTGAAGTTGAAAACGTCAAGGAAAAAAAACAAAGATAATGTAGCTGGTGATGTTGGTGGTGTGTAGGTGTCCGACTGAGGACACAAAACTCACCATTTCCTAATTTCAACATTCATCCATGTACGTGTGAATCTGATCCAAAGCCTCTTGTGAAATCGAGCATCTCATACAGTGACAAATGTAACAAAAGAACAAAGCTATTGCTGACTATTGATATACGCGATAATATTTGGATCCAGGGAAACAACAGAAACATTTCCACAGTGTGACTATAAATATAAATATGGGTGATGCTGTGACAGTTATATTAGAGCCTGACTGACACTATGCACTGGATTTACTGATCAGCTATTATTAGCCCAACAAAGACACAAAGGTATCGGTGTGTATATGTTGAACGATCAGCAACCGGAAATTGCACTGTGCAAAATGCTAAAAAAAAAAGTCATTTAGAATTACTTGGGTTATCACATTAACAATTGACAAATTCATATTATCATCATGGCTCTGTTTCTACATCCTATTACCACATAGATAAACTTAAGGGATCCCACTCAAACATCTTAAATACACAGTTAGTGGACTTTAAATATTAGCCAGAAGCATCAGTGCCAGTAATCCTTTAGTCACTGATTCCAAATATCACCAGATTAATTCAGTCCTCACCTCTATTAAAACTGTCAACACTGCACAAACATAAACATTCTTTCAAAATAAGACAAATGAGAATATTCTTACATTAACATATAAAAGAATGCGTGTTGTTTTTCAGATAGCAACACATTTTTTTCCTAAAAAAAAAAGTTCGACATTACCTGTGACACACACCAGACCTGTTATAATATAGTAAAACACCTTTTTTTTGCTCAGTAGGTGCAGGTTACCTCAGAACCTCTGTGAACTCTGTCATCTAATACATCCGGTTGTAACATGGACCCGCTGAAAACATATATTATCTATTAGAAATAAAGAATGAAACAATGTGTGTGATGATGACCACACTCCCACCCATCGCCTCCTCTAACAGCCGGGGCCTCTGCAGCAGCTGCAGCACACACTCACCGAAATACACCGTCTTGTCGCATTTTGGACATTTGGACGCCATGGTCGGTGAAGGGCTCGTTATCAGTCGGTCCGCCGGTGATCTGTCTGTCTGTCTGTCTGTCTGTCTGTCTGTCTGTCTGCAGCTCCAGACACACCTCTGAGGATGCTGACTGTGCTGCTGCTGCTGATGAGACTGATCCTCACATCCGCCCTCCGCTCCTCATACACGCTCTGACTCCGCCCCCACGGTGACGTCGTGCAGCTCCCACTCCATCCAGCCGTCAGTGGATCACAATGTACATCTAAGTCAATGCATTCCTGTCTGTGTGATCAGAAAAGCAGCAAAGAGCTTTTCATTTTCATCACCTCTTCTTTACTTTGGGGTTTATTTCTAATTTATGTATTCCTTATCTAATAATAATAATAGTACATAATACTTATGTAGCGCTTTTCAAGACACTCACAGACGCCACAACAACAAGACACACACACAAAAAATTACACATAAATAAAACATAATGGGAAATGGCATAAAGAAAAAGAATTCTGAGTCGTAGGCAGGGTTGAAAAGATATTCAGTTCAATTCAGTTTTATTTGTATATCGCAGTTTACAACATATGCCATCTCACAGAACTTAGCATAGTAAGGTCCAGAGCTTATAAATTTAAACAGAGAACCCAACAATCCAAAGATGCCTTTGGACTCCCTCTGAACAAGTGGTCGGCAACAGTGGGAAGAAACCACAACTGGGAATGAGGGGGGTGGGGATAACAGGATAGCAGATGGAGAGCAAGCAATAGAACAGAATAAATATAAATATAAATATTTTGTTGGTCGGTGAGGCCAGCAGCTGCAGATCTGTGATGTGACACTCCGGATCCAGAGACGTCCGCAGGGAGAACAAGCACAGGACCTCGGGGGAAACACAGAATTAGTGATATGTAATGGTGGTTATATTTGTATGGAAGGAAGTGAGTGGAGAGGAGCTCAGTACATCATTGGAATCCCCCGGTAGTCGAAACTTATAGCAGCATAACTAAGGGACAGTTCAGGTGATCCTGAGCAGCTCTAACTATGAGCTTTAGCAAAGTTTTAAGCCTAACCTTAAAAGTAGAGAGGGTGTCTGCCTCTCGAACCCAAACTGGGAGCTGATAACTTAAGTCTCTGAAAAAAAAACTATATAACATCATTAGATTTTTAATAAGTCAACTTTAATGTATTTTGTTACATTCCACCCCTGCACATTGCCTTCCTACAACAACATATCTGACTATTAAAACACACCTGGCATGCCGGATTGAATGGGAACCTGTTTCTTTCCTCCATGAGTCTCATTAGAACCGTAAAGTTGTGTCATATAATTTGGGGAATTTAGACACACACCGCACAGACACTCTGCCCTCCATGCCAGATGAGACGCCTTGTTTCTACTGGGACATACATAATGACACGCAAAGGTCAAGGTTCAACATATTAGAACTTTGACTACATTTGAACATTGACTGCAGCAGGCCTTCGACCTCATTGACCTTTGACCTCATTGACCGTTGACCTCACTGACCTGTCTCCTGAGTGAAAGGCCTTAAATTGCTGTTGTGGCTGTTGCAGGTTTGAACCATTGGATATTAGATTAGATTCAACTTTATTGTCATTGTGCAGAGTAGACAACAAAATGCATTTTAACATTTAACCAGAAGTGCAGAAGGAGCAGTGAAGTGCTTTATACACAGTATTAGTATTCACATTATAATCCAGTTTATTAACAGGGAGAGCAGATACACCTGGAAGCTCAAACATGATTGTTATTAAGAGGAAAGAAGAAGAAACAAAGTTCTGATCCACAAATGTGTTTTCAGTTTTTCTCTAATCTTTGATATTTGCTAAGATTCTGGAATATTTATTAAAATTAATCAGTGTGAGAAGGTACACATCGCTATTTGATGGAGCTGTTAGTGAGCTGTCTACACTCTGATATTTGGAAGAAGCCGAACAAGTCGAAAACCACTGGTTTAATCTTTAAAAAATGCGTTGTTTTTTAAAAAAAGTTTAATATATTTTCCATCCATCCATCCATCCATCCATCATCTATACACCGCTTAATCCTCACTAGGATCCCGGGGGGGCGGGAGTCTATCCCAGCTGACTCAGGGTGACGGCAGGGGACACCCTGGACAGGTCACCAGTCTATCACAGGGCTACACTTAGAGACAGACAACCAAGCACACTCACATTCACACCTACGGACAATTTAGAATCAGCAATTAACCTCAACATGTTTTTGGACTGTGTGGGAGGAAGCTGGAGAACCCGGAGAGAACCCACGCTGCACGGAGAGAACATGCAAACTCCACACAGAAAGATCCTGGTGCTCCCACCGGGACGCAAACCTTCTAACTGCGAGGCAACAATGCTAACCACCGAGCCACCTTGCAGCCCATAATAATAATAAATCATCAAATATTCTTTACTCTACATACATCAGCTATGTGACCAACTACTGGCAGTTGCAGTTACTGATAATAATAGTTAGTAAAAAATTTCACCCCAAAAACAAGATCACATCGTGTTATTCATGATAAATGCACAGGAGTGTGTGTAAAATTGTCCAACTCAATCAGCATCAAGAACGTTTCTTACTATATTAATGCATTTTGTTACAATCTTATGATACGAACTATGATTTCATGTAGGTGACTTTATTTACATTTTACTGATTTATATTTTGTTTGTGTTTAAACATGCATTATAAAGGAACACAGACACTAGCGGTGTATTTTTAATTTTCTACTTCATAATAATATTCCATGTAAAATGCTGTGAGATGTTTCATCACCCATGATTGGCAGCTTTGCTCATAAAAAAAAAAAAAGTCAGTCTTCAGGCAAATGCATAAAGTTTCTCTTGCCAAAATATCTTGAAATTTCAGAAACTTTGAATACTCCTTATCCTTAAAGAACGAAAGCTATAACTTTATATTTAGCATCCATGTCAGGTTTACATTTTCACTTTACATTAAAAAATCGAATCAAAAAATTTGTTTTCAGTTTAGAAAGGGCTTTATTGAGCACCTTCTGCTTCACATATGAACACTATAAATCCTAATGTAGAGGGAAAGCCCACATCTACAGATATCCATTGTTGCAGGTGTCTCTATTTTGGAAATGCGATTAATCCTAAATCCTAGCAATGCCGGCCCTCCTGCATGAATCAGTGTCACCCTTTAGCTCTGTTTGTTTGCCCTGTGTGGTTGTTAGGTTACGCTGCCTGACAGCGCCGCTCTTCACAGGGAATGTTAAGTGATGCTCTGCAGCACCCAAGAATACAACTCTGTACATTCTTGGTGCTGAGATACGAGAAGAGGTGACATATAGATGGCCTTTTGTGTGGAATTAAGAATAAGAGAAATCATTAAATTGGAATATTCGTATTTTTTGAGGCAAAAAAAAAAAATGCACTGAAAATGCAATTCCCCCATCTGTACCTGCAGATGCTGGTCACAGTTTAAGGAGATATTTTATATTGACACATGCTCCTAATTGATTTTATTCATATTATATATAATAAACCAGACTTTTCTGTATCGTGAATGCAGTAATTAGTAAAAATCATTAGATTGTGGTAGTTTGAATAAGCACAAAGAGACTAGAAATATATTTGCTACTAACACCTCAACATCTTTGCTCATCCTTATTGAGTGAGGCTGAATCATGTGATACATGACTCACATTGTGTTTTTCTGTATTTTTAAGTATTTTCTATGTATTTTTATATATTTCTATGTATTATCTTTTATGTATTATTCTATATTATATTATTCTATGTATTATTCTTTATATACTTCTATGTATTATCTTCTATGTATTATTTTTTTCTGTGTTTTTCTGTGTATTTCTATCATTATTTTGATTTTTCTTGTTGTTTGCTGTTGTTGTTGTTTGTTCTATTTTTAATTGAGACTGTAATGCTTGTTTTGGATATTTTACTGTCTGGACTCCAGGAAGACTGGCTGACGTCTTGGCATCAGCTAATGGGGATCCTTTTAAATAAACAAATAAACAAAGTTGTTTATTGAAATTCTCCACATATGAAACAGTAGAAATTATAAAAGTTTAAAAAGAAAGGCTTGACATAAATTACTAGTTGTTTATCATCCAGTGAACGCTCCACAGCCACCTGTAAAAAGGTAATGGGGATTTCTCCTAAATATATCTTCAAGATATGTGTTAATTTGTGCATTTAGCAGCGTTTACAGGCTCTGGTTGGTAGATTTTGTCATCTTTAGACAGAACCAAGGTGGCTGTTTCACTCCTGATTTCACTCCTTAGTTTCATATTTAGTGAATAGAATCAAGAGTTGAATCAATATTTTTCTCAAGATAAAATATGAAGACAGGTAAAGAATTGAGGCTCATATGATTTTAGGTGAAAAAGTGACTTCTTCAGTCCTGCATACTCGTCGTGTCTCGCCAAAAATAAAACTAAATTGCATTCTCTATTAGGATTTGAGGGTAAACATACAGTTTTTTCTGCCAGAATATGTTTGTTTGTGATGTATCATCATTTGAAATCAACATATCCTTGTCATTTATGTGATTGCTTTATTGTTGCTCCCTTTTAATAGTCAATCATACATTAGATGAGTTGGGATTCCTCACCCTGGTAACCCAGAAAATAAAGCCATGCTTAAAACATGTTGTGAAACTGTTGTATATTAACACAAACTGTGATTTTTTTTTTTTTTTACCCCTAAACCTACTCAATTAGATCCCCAGCATTTTCAAAATGAACTCTGTAGAGTTGTGACCGATACAGATAAATTAATATATGTTTTACAGAGTTGGTGTTTTTAAAGAAGACACACACATAACACGGCTGAATTTTATCATTAAATACTCTTCCAACGCTTAGGATCCTGACTTCTACCGAGGACCAAGTTCTTTGATCAGAGAATTTTCAAGGATGTCTGTGTTTATCCTCAGCATTCTTACAACACCCACAGTCCTTGCTCACATTCAAGGCCGGGACCCTTTCAGTGACACAGACCTGCACTCTCGCTACGCTGTCGTATTGTGTTTCCTCTGAATGTGAGGGAGGAGTTTCATCGCGTTCTTGTCTTATCCTGCTGGTTGCTCCACAGACTGACAGCTGATGGTAAAGAATCACA